CTCTAGTTTCAGTCTTCTTCCATGCAGCTTGATGTTCATATAGTAAATGATGGTCCCATTCAGAGTAAAATAGGCGATAAATCAGGGTATGCTTTAGGGCGTGGCGTCCTTATGATTGAGGTCAATAACAGAATCAAGATTCTGTTACTGCGTTGACTATTTCTGATGTCAAATCTTTTCAGAAACGTTTTAGTGTAATGTTTATCTAGAATATAAGAATGTGTGTGAACAGGTGAGCCACCATTGTTTCCTGCACTGCTACGTCACCGCTGCTGTCTCCAAAAAGCCATCTCGTGATGCCCATGATGCCAAACTCTGGGATTCAACGGTGTACTCTCAAACCAATGGGTGATATTGCAATAGGTTAACAATGATGCAGAGATGGAGATATCCTGACATTTTGCCCGAAAATTTCCAAAAATGCTATCACAATGAGCCTCTGTCATTAGACTCTCTCTGCCTGGTAAATGCCCACATGTTTTAAACTCCATGCACCAAGTCAAGCTGAGATAACTGATGACACCATCATCTCTGACTTTACAGTTCCTTTACAGGCTGAAAAGTATGCAGTGGTGACACGTACACTTCATGTGTAAAATCAGCGAAGTGCCCCTTTAAAGGGCATAGCAACTATGCAATAATTATCAGCCAGTTTACATATGTTGTCTTTTGCTGTTTGCACAAGAATATAAAATCACCTGCAACAACAGCATGAAGTGAACTGGTTGGCTGAACCACATCAGGCGTTGCCCTCCTGACACCAATTATTCACTAGCTGCTCTCTCAGTGCCTCCCCATGTCTGTACTGGTTTTCCAGTCTGGTTGGTTGCTCCAGTGATGGGTGCGGCTGCAATATCCTCCTCCACTCACTCATTTTTTGCCTCTGTTGCTATGGTAGCCCACAGCCCACCATATACCAGCTATTATTAGTTAGCTATTAGGATGTCAGGATGTCATTGTCTGCAAATAAAAGTGAATTTTAACAACAAATCAATGGCAATATTGATGAGCAGATTGAGTTTTGTCCCAGCCAAAATATAAGTTGTGCTCATCTCTGTATGCAAACATGCCGTCAGAGAGAGGGATATAGGTACCAAACACAGGGTGCATGAGGTACTGACTGAGGATTAAAGGGTGACACTAAGCAAAACTCAGCATTGCCATAGAGGCCTCTGCTGTCTTGAATGTACAATCAACAGCTACACAGCCTTTTTTGCATTGTTATGAATGTTTTTTTGTGATTCTAGTATTTCTCTCTCTTTCTGAGTCAGGGCAGAAGAGATCAGAGTGGAAGCGAGCAGATGGGAGACACAAAGAGGCCATGCTCTTTGGGGTC